TTTCCCAAAGCGACAGCCGAAGCGTGAGGTGCCGAAGTGTGGAAAGCCAATGATTGGGACGATGCGTGTGTTTGATCATGAGTTGATTGATTGGGTTTCCAGGACGGGTCTTGACTTTTGAGAGCGGCATTCTCCGCTTTCAAAGCCGAATGTTCTCTAGCATCTTGCTCTCTTTGGTGCCTCATAGCGGCCATTTCTTCTTTTAGCTGACGAATAGTTTCAGAAAGGTCAGTTTCATCACCACCTCCACACGTTCTTCTTCTCCTTCAGATCTGTGATCTTCTGTGTTTGTCTTCCTTGTCTTAGCCATTGTTCTGATCCTGTCGACTTGCTTTTTCGATTTCTCAATTCGGCCCCACGGTGGGCGCCAAAATGTACCTGTCTGAAGGGCACAATAGTAATCTTCTCGTACTCTGAGGGTCGAATGAGAGCTCCGATCGAATATTCCGGTGAGAGGGATGGTACCTGCAAAAGACACTCCAACGCTCAAGTCAGGACAAACACAAATATCGATGATAATTAATGAACAGTGACGTTACCTCGTGACATGAGCTATTTATTCTGATATTTATGGGTCCTGATCCCCATGGCCCCTGCAACTTGATTACTATATTAGGTAATACGTCCTAATCAGTTTATTGGTGCGATTAACCTTTAATCTGTGATTAAGGGTAATATTTGGGTGTAGGCCGATCCTAGTGGCTGATCGGGTGTCGGCTACCAGATTCGGCCATTTAGTGGCTGATAGGGTTTTGGCTATGCGGTGACCGAATACCTTTACCCGTATAATATTTAATTTTATATAATTTAATATTAACTAATTGACGGCATACATTTTTTGTTCTGAATAGTATGTGTTGTCTCTGTTCTTAAAATAGCAATTTAAACACAATTAAAATTCCTATAGAATATTTTTCTCAAAATGTTTAGTCAGCATGCATGGTTATTATTGCAAGATCATATCGAGTTAATTAATGAAAAATTATAAAAAAGAGATTTTGAATATAAATTTTGAATGTTTTTAATACATTATATTTAAGGAGTATTAGTATTTATATAACATTATTATGATAGATTCGAGTCTCGAATCAATAATTCAAGGCAGGAGAATGATGGTCAAACTCCAAGAGAATTTTATAATCCCATTTGCCATACGTTAAATGCAAAAATACAAACCTTTATCTAGAAAGTTTCGTAAAAATAAGGGTGTTAATTATTATTATTATATTTTAAAAAAAATATTTTTATAGTTTATATAATTTTCTTTACATTACCTCTTAATTTTTTATGTTTAAAATTGACTTTTTTAGTTTTTATACTTATTTTTTTCAATTTTTTTTGTCTTTTATAATTTTAGATAGATCTTTTTGTTTCTATACTTACAATTTTTTAATCTTTGATGTTTTTTTTTATATTATTTATTTTATGTTGACATGACAAAATTATTAATTCAAATTTATGTCTTTGGTGTTAAATTTATTTTACTAAATGGATATCAATTTTATTTTGTTAGAATTACTTTAAATTAACTCTTTGGATGTTTCATATTTTTTTTTATCCTCACTTACAACATCTATTGTTGAGACATGTTTGTTTTACCTTCAGAAAATTGAAGCACATCAACACAAAATAGACAATATTACAAAAAAATTAACAATAAGAACTAAAAGAATTACAAAGTTACAAATATAAGAATTAAAAAGATTTATATTAAATTATGGTAACTAAAACTGACTGAAGAAGATAAATATAAAAACTAAAAAATGTCGATTCGGGTCAAGTAAAAAATATATAAAATTTGAATAAATCCAAACCAATTACAATTAATTGACTTGAATTAGATTTTTACCCAAACTTAAACTAACCTAATCGTAAACTCCCCCTAATCGTAAACTCCCCTATTCTCGTACAATAACATTTAAAAAAAAATTCTTTTGATGACAGAGTTTTTAAAAACTTTTTAGCTACTTATATAATTCAATTTTATTTATTTTAAATAGTCATGAATTTAATTTAATATTTTTAAAATAAATTATCGATAAATATAAATAATTTTATGCTATAATTTAAATTATTTTTTATAAATAATTCTTTCTGTGGCAAGGCCTTCATTCAGCCCTTCCAACAAATCAGGTTCGAGCTGATAGGAGGTTGACTGACTCTAGTACATGCTCGCGTTGCTCTTGCCCTCACGAAACCATTTTACATGCACTTCGTGATTGCCCGTTTTCGCGAGAGGTGCTGGTGTCTGGTGGGTTCAGTGTGGGATGAGCTTTCTCGGTAATGGATTGTTTCCAGTGGTTGAAAGGGATTATTTTGCATAAGGATGCTATTAAGTTATCCATCACTTTATGGTGGGTTTGGCAGTTTAGAAATAACATGTTGTTTACCGCTGAGCCTTGGACGATTTCGGTGGTTCGTCGGAAGGTCACATTGTCTATGGTGGAGAACAATGTGTATAACGCGAAGAGGTGCTTAGGGGATGAGTCAACCCGTTGGAGGCCTCCGGAACATCCGTGGGTCAAACTCAACACGGACAGGAGCTGGTTGACTGGATCTTATGCTATGGGGATGGGCGGCGCAATTCGAGATTGGACAGGTATGTGGCGGGGGGGTTTCTCGCGTGGAACTTTACATGGTGATGCGTTACGTGCCGAGTTATTGGCCTTGGAGGATGGTTTAACGTGTTGTTGGGAAGGTGGGTTTCGGAAGGTGAGGTGCGAATGTGATTGCCTAGGAGCTGCTATGCTGTTTCAAGAGCGATCCATGGATAGGGATTACCTGCATAATCACTATGATGTGATTCGTCGAATTAAGCGCTTGCTAGCTAGGGACTGGGTTGTTTACGTGAGTCATATACCTCGAGAGATAAATTCAGTAGCACATACGCTGGCTAATTGGGGTGTACGGAACATAGGTTCCAATGTATTTTGGAGGAGTCCTCCAGAGTTTGTCCTGTTACAGTTAGGGAAAGACTCTATGTCTTGAGTTGTTTGCTGTTTTTAGTTTTCATTCTTTACCAAAAAAAAAAA